ACCGCCCTCACCGCCCTCACCGCCCTCACCACCCTCACCGCCCGCGAGTCGAGTCTGGACTGCAGTAGTTTGTCCGACGAGCGTCTGCCAAATCCAGCCGGCTCGGCCTCTCTGAGTCGCCTGGTTCTCTCGCCTGCTACTGTGTATACCCCGCCCTCGATTTGGCGCTGCGCCCACCCTTTCACTTCAACTGCTATCGCTTTGCGCGGATCTTTCAAGTTTAGACCCAGCTTGGCTTGCTGTCGCTCGTACTCGGCTGCTCTCTGCTCCTGACATCATCCCCTCCTGCCACCATATCCCTGCACCGACCCTAGTCCTGATCGCTCCGTCGTATACATCGTCGTGTACACCTTCGCCTCTGCATTGCGCACCACCCGCGCTTCCAACGTTTGCATTTCTCTAGCATCACCAACTCCACACTCGGTGCAACTTTGCTTGATCTTGTTTCTAAGAAGCCTCGACTTGGCGCTACGCTTCGTGGACGCCAGTACTACAGAACCTACTCTCACCGGATCGCCATCGTTTCGACCTCATCGTATGCCCTTGTAAAGTCCAGCGTGCGGCGTCGCTTTTAGGCTTGTTCGCTCAACGCCGGACTGCATCGCAACTCTGCGCACCGGCCCCGCCATCTCCACGTCGTCCGTCGGACCGCCCTCATACCGCCATGGACGCCTCGGCCGACGACCCGCAGCGCTTCCGAATCCGTCGATCGCCGTCGATCGGCACCTCAGCCGCTGCCGTCGGTCCAGCATCGACGAGATCCGGCAAGCGGAAGCTCTCGACCGCTGCATTCGCTTCGTCGCCCAGCATGGCGCCTCATCCTCCATCGTCACCCATCACCTCGGAGCATCCGACCGACGAGCTCAAGCTCAAGCAGGGCATCCAGACCGCTTCGCAAGCCACCAGCACATCGCGCTCCACCGTCGATGCCTCCGATGCAACCAGCAGCAACGCAGAGTCTTCGTCCGCCGCCGCGGCTCATCCGAATGCCTCGGCTTCTCATGCACAATTCCACGAATGGCAAGACCAGCGCAGATGCCATTCGGTGCTGGCCGACTACGACTACTTGCACCCGACCGAGGACCGACGCGATCCACGAAGCTCCAACGCCCGCCTCGTCATGCCAGTCTCGCAGCAGTCCCAGACGGTGGCATGCAGCTCGGCTCATGACCGCCCAGCTAGCGAGATGGAATCCCATACTTCGTTGCAGCCACCTCCGATAGCGCTTCAGCACGACGACGACTCGGCGAACGACGGCACGTGCGACACTGCTCCAAGCCACACCGGTCTGGGGCCGAGTGCGTCGCTTCCGCTCAGCCCAGAATGCAACGTCTCGCCCTCGCCCTCGTTTGCTGCTTACGGATATCCCGACACACCTCCCCATGTCTCTCAGCGTCTATCGTCCTCATTGTCGCAAGATCGACCCGGAACTGCCAGCGCATCAACCTCGGCCTCCGCTTCGTCTCACCGCCTTTCCAGCATCGCCGAATCGTCAAACGAGCGAACAGGCCCAACAGACGCTTGTAGCACAAATCACACTGCATCGGAGACGTCGCGTCCGTGGACGAGAGCGACGTCTTTGAGATTCGACCAAGCCGAGCAGCGTGAGCGCTCGCCGGTTGGTGAGGCGACGCACAATGCATCGCAGTCGCCAGATCCCTTTCGCCTGCAGCCCGTTCCGCCTTCGAAGCGTCGAAAGCTGGACGATTCCCTCGCGGGCGCAACTCATGCCGGTCTCGGATCGCCCGCTCGCATCGACGACGCGAGGCGTTCGAGCGATGCTGGCATTGCGTCTGACTCTGCGCAGGTACGCAACGGTGTCGATAAGAAGGCAGGCGAGGCGCTCTTCGAAGACAAGCCTGGCTTCCTCAACCACACTCAACGCGCTGCTTTGGTCCCGTCCGCTCAGCCAACCGCTCCTGCGTCACTGTCCGTAGCGAGGACTTCGTCGGCACACGCCGCTCGCCTCGACCAATCCACAGATGCGAGAAACGCTGCCCATGCCCCTGCCACCAGCAAACACAACGCGCACGCCGAGGCAATCCAGCGAAAGCAGCACGCCTGGCCGAGCCGCAAATACTCTCGCCTCACACGTGCTCAGAGCGTGCCCAACTTGCGTGCCAAGGCCACGCTCGACGTCTCGGCGCCCTCGCATCACCGCCTCATTCTGCCCAGCCATCTGGCCGGCTACGTCTCGTCGCAGTCGCGACAGAGCCGCTCGGGCCAGAACGGGTCCAAGGGCTCGACCATGCGACTCTCCAAGGGGCTGCCACTGAACCTCGCTCACTACTCTGTTGGAACAAGCAGCTCACGCTCGCGATCGACGTTTACACCCACGCTGCATCCGCCCATCACTCGGCACACGCTGCGCGAGCTCGACCTGCTCGAGATCCTCAAGAACCCGCAGCTCCGTCACGACGTCGTCTTCGATCCCAACGTCCAGTTCCGCCCCAACTTTGACGGCGAGCGCGGCAGGCGCAAGCGCGAGGCCGGGGAGAGGTACTGGGCCGCTGTGGTCCGCGAGATCGAGACCGGCTGCACCTGCACCGCCTTTTCGCATGGCCAGCTTCTGCCGTGCACCTGTCGTGCCAAGGGTCGCTCGCTGCCCGCCGGTGCAGCGTGTCTGCGGGATGCAGCGGCTGGCCCCGATGGCAAGCGGGATTCCAAGGGCAGGCCGCCGCTGCCCAACTCGCGCATCCCGTCGAGGATCCCGCTGCTGGTGCAGGAATTGCGCACGATCTGCCTCTCGATTCTGCCATCCAACTATCCGGCCGACTCGGCCGGTGTGGTGGCAGAGGAGGCCTCAGCCACTTCCACCGACGACAGCAAGGTGGGCGACGAAGCTAGTTCCGGCCGCGACGGCATGGCTTCGGGAAAAGCGCCTGCTCCGGCTTCGTCCGGCGTCCCTTCGCTGGCCACGACGCACCACCAACTCATTGCTCACACGCTGGACCCGCACCTGATCGCGCAGGAGCTGCAGCACGGCGTGCTGGATGTGCCTGCGCTCATCACGTTTATGGGATCGATCCTGAAGCTGCACTGCGCGCCGATGCGCGACGAGGCGATCGAAAAGATGGTCGAGGTGGTGTGCATCGACCACGACATCGGCAAGGGTCTGCGACTCTGCTTCGAGATCCTCGAGCTGATGAAGCTCGACATTGCCAACCACCAGCTGCGGTCGGCGCGGCCGTTTCTGGTGGAGACTGCGGTGGACTTTGAGATCCGCTGGTTTAAGGAGCAGATCGAGCAGGGCAAGATGTCGCTGGACAAGACGACCGCATGGATGCGACAGGCACTGAGCGAGGCGAGCGACGATTCGGGCCTGCCGCGCAGCCACGTGATGGTGACGGCATTCAGCCGCGGCATGCTGCAGCTCATCTTTGATGTGCCGGGCACGCTGCCCGTGCTGTCGCAGGTGGCCACGCCGCTGGGCTCGCCGTCGTCATCGTCGCTCAACAACACCTTTGCCACGCTCTACCCAGAGACGTTCCAGTTTGACGCGTATCGCATGATGACGTTCCACAACGATGTGTCGGACCTCACGATCGTGTATATGTTGCTGCTGCTCTTCCGCCAGCTGTGCGGCACGCCGCTGGACGACGGCGCGCCGCTGCCGGCGTGCGTGGGCAGCCTGGTGCAGCGCCAGCTCAAGAGCATCAAGGGCGAGATCTGGTGTCTGCTCAACGACGCCAACCTGTGCCTGTCGGGCTCGGGCGGCGTCTCTGCCGCGCCTGCGGCGGCGTCCTCGGCGAGCGGCGCTAGCCGACGTGCGGCGGGCGTGGAGGGTAAGCCGTTCCTCGGCAGCGCTGGCGGCTTTGCCAAGCTCGACCATCCGCGCTGGCGACGCGCGATGCAGAATGTGCTGCTCCAGATCGCCGCGCGCGCCGCAGCGGTGCAGACGGCGGCGCGGACGGGCACATCGGACCCGAGTGCGGTGCAGACGGCAGCGCCGTCGGCCAAGACGCAGCAGCTGCTCAACTCGTGGATGGAGACGAACTTGCGCAGCGGATCGGCGCTGCACAAGATCTGCCAGAGCCGGCTGCGCGATGTGGTGCTGGGCATGCTGACGGACAAGGTGCGCAGCAGCCTGCCGATCGTCACGGCTCTGCCTGTGGCAGCCAGCAAGGGTGGCGAGCCTAGTGCAAGCCAGCAGAAGCGCGCAAACTCGAGCGAAGACGGCGACGCAGATGACGGTGCGTCGGTGTCCAAGAGGCACCGCACCGATGCTGGTTCGGACGCCACGAGCAGCGATCAGGTGGCCAACACTGCGGGTGTCGCGGCCGGCACGAGCACGCCCTGGGATGCTGCCATGAGCCGCGCGGGGCTGGAGCCGTTCGCGGCCGAGATCCGATTGCTGTCGGACCGAGTGGCCAAGGTGGCGACGTTCCACCTGCGCGTCTTCCGCCACCTGTACGAAGGCTTCGAGGCTGGCCGTGCCCAGGCAGCCCAACAGCCATCGCCGTCGTCGTAGTTGGGTCCATTTCGCTATAGCATTTACCTCTTCTTGGTTTCGCATCAAGGACATTGCCTATCAGATTTAACGAGCAACTACACCATATTAGCATCGACCCTTGACACTGCTGCTGCGAGCAAGCTGATGGAAAATGAGAGTTGTGGAGGAGATGCGCAGACTGGAGGGGGATGAGGAGCGTGTTTGCGTGATGAGCTGCAGGCTGCAGAGTGCTGATCGTCGTGCATGCCTGTGCAGCGGAGGTGCATGAGCTGCGGTTTGTGGTTGGGTGGGGCATCTGAGGAGCCAGCCATCGGCGGGCGGAAAAAAGGTTCTTGGATGGAAACAATTTTGGTTCTGCGTGCATTTGGCAGCCCGGCAGGACGGAATGCAGCTCTTTTGGCTCGGGCGGTGTTGTTTACTGCCCCCCCTGCCTGCGACTCTACGTCTTACTCGGACTGCATCTCTTCACTGATCTGGATCTGGAAGCTGCGGTGGTGAAGTGGATGTGGTCTGCATGGATGGCGGCAAGGATGGCTGGATCGAGGCTGAAGGTGATTCGCAGGGCCCCAAGCCTCGATGTCTTGCCGAGCTGGAGAAAACGCAGTCGAGCCGCGCAGAGAGTGTGGGTGGGTTGGCAGCAACAGAGGGTCGCAAGCGAGCGCGCCCAGCGAGGCAGAGGGGTTGGTGGGCTAGGACGCAATTTTGGTTGCAATTTTGGCTGCGGGCAAATGCTTGGCCGCGCGGATCTTTGGACTGCGCGAGGGCGAGGGCGAGGGCGAGGGCTCTGGCAATTTGGGTGTTGTTGTGGCGGGCTTCAACTGCAAAGGCGCGCCCAGGGTTGAGAGAATGGGTAGCGTGGGCGCACGCAAGCCCGCGTCTCTGCCCCCTCGAGCAGCTGCGCTGCTGCCTCGCAACCGCGCGCGCATCGTCGTATGCGAGAGCGACCGTGGTTCTCCAACCCGCCTACAACCCCCTGTTCTGCTCCACGATCCCAGACCGTGCTTCAACACCACATCGACTTACTCTGTTCCCTCTCTCTCTGTTCTCTCTTCCTTGGATCCTCTGCACACCCTTTCGGAATCCGCATCAGCCGTCGCATTGTCCCAAATTCGGCCTCAACGCCAAATCGACCCAACTCGCTCATTGCACCGTTCCCTCCTATTCGACACCATAGCCCCACATCCAAGGCGAGGCATACTTTCAAACCCGCGCGCATTATACAAAGCATATCTGCTGGGCCGGCATCCGCATAGCTCGAATTCGCCTCGCAGCGTCGATCTCGCCTGCCTCTAGCTGACCCGCTTGACGCCAGCAACTGCAGCGTCGCAAGTGTCCGCCGGCTCCTCCGATCCAAGTACGACTTTCGGCAGATTCGCATCGTGGCAGTCTCTCACGCTGCAAAGTTGGCGCGATGAGTTCGTCTTCGCCCATCACAAGCGTGCCGGATCCGTCGGATTCGTCCGCACTTGCCTCGATCATCACGCAGGTGCAGCCTGGGCAGGCGGCGCCTGTCGTGCGTCGTCCCGCAGCGCCGACCAAGTCCACCGCGCAGACGGACGCATCACGGAAGAAGAAGAAGAAAAAGAAGACGGCTGCTGCCGATGCTGCGCGCGATGAGGCGGCTCAGCTGCGGTCGCAGGACCAGGCGGTGGCCGAGGCGGCTCGTCTGGGCTCCGAGGCTGCGCAGTCGCAAGCACGCGCCAACACCAAGACGACAGCTGCGGGTACGGCTGCAGAAGCACCGACGCAAGAGATGGACTCGGCGGCACCACAACATTCGCACCAGGCCTCGTCGACACTCGTCGGCACATCGACGGCGGGCGACACTCTGGGTCGCAGCGCGGTGCTATCCGACTCGCCGGTGGTCGGTTCGGACCAGCCAGCTGAGTCGGCAGCGCAACAGGCGGCACCCATGCAATCGGAGAAATCCAACCCGACCGCCACAGAGAGCAGCGAGGGAACCGTGGACAAGGACGGGCTCATCGACGTGCCTCCGCGTAAGCATGCGGGTGAGGCGGTTGCCACGCCCGCAGCTGCAGCTGCACCTCGACCCGCAGCTGCGGCTGCGAAACCCGCCACCGCGCGCCCAGTGGCTGCATCAGGCCCCTCCAAGGCTGGCAAGAAGCCCGGATTCGGCGCGCGTCTGGTGGCGCTGCTCACCTGTTCGTCGGCTACATCCGCCGAGGTTCGCCACGAGATGCAGGAGAAGCAGCGCGCTCCTGCCAGCGTCGCCGCGCGCAATGCCAAACCCCCCACCCCCGCCATTGCCCCACGCACACCCACCAAACCCACAGCCGCGGGCGGGGAGTACGAAACCACGCCCGGAGGGGGCACCAAGCTTCCGCGCGACGAGACGGGCAACGTTATGTCGGGCGCCGTGGTTCCACCGGGTGCGGCGTTTGTAACCGCCGACGAGGCGCGTAAATCCCGATCCTCGCTGGCGGATTCGGAAGATTCCGTATCGGACGATGAGGACGAGATGGACATGGACGATATGGACTATCTTACGGACGATCAGACTGAAGAGCAGAGGCTGATTCTACAGGGAGGCATTGGGATTCCTGTGGACGAGCATGGCAATCCGCAACCGCTGTTGACGGAAATTGGTCCGCAGGATCAAGGACGCAAGTGTCTAGTTCTCGACCTCGACGAGACGTTGGTTCATTCGAGCTTCAAGATGATTCAGAATGCCGACTTTATCGTCCCCGTCGAAATCGACGGTACGGTTCACAACGTCTATGTGATCAAGCGACCGGGGGTGGACGAATTTATGCGACAGATGGGCGAGATTTACGAGGTGGTTGTCTTTACCGCAAGCTTGTCCAAGTATGCCGATCCAGTGTTGGACATGTTGGATATTCATCATGCTGTTAGACACCGGTTGTTTAGGGAGAGCTGTTACAACCACAAGGGCAACTACGTCAAAGACCTCAGTCAACTAGGAAGGCCAATTGGAGATACGATCATCATCGACAACTCTCCAGCCAGTTACATCTTCCATCCCAACAATGCCGTCCCGGTCAGCAGCTGGTTCAATGACCCCCACGACACCGAACTCACAGACCTCTGCCCCTTTCTCGCCGATCTGGCTAATGTAGACGACGTAAGAGCCGTCCTTGACGGCTCACTCTAAGTTATACCCTCCCCCACAACACTACATTCTTTCCCACTCCTCCCCACCCCCCCTTACGCTCCAGTCTAGGCTCCAGTCTTATCTCATCGTCCACTTCAATCTTTCTCCCGCCCTCAATCTGCACCACACACACGTCTTAGAATCTCAATTCCCACACCATGCGTATCCTTCTTTGCGGAGAACAAGAACGAGCTGGATTATCACGACGTAAGCGCAGATGAAGTAGTCAGGGAAGAGGTGGGAGGGCTACAGCTCGATGCCCGAGTCGCGGTCGTCGTCCGCGGCGGCGGCGGCGTCGACGAGCGCCTTGAGGGGCGCAGTGGACGCGCTGGTGGCCGAGGACGGGAGGCGGTTGATCGCGCGGCCCAGCGCGGTGCACAGCTCGGTGATCGTATCGAGGCCCGCGTCGAGCTCGTCGAGCTCGTGCGCGCTCGCCTCGTCCAGCGCCGCAGCTGGTGCGGCAGCCGAGACGAGCTTGCGGACGTGCAGCGTGGCGGCATGCACGCGCTTGACGTCGGTGCGCGCGTCGGCAAACATGCGCAGGAAGCTGAGCCAGGCGAGCAAGAGCACGGCGCGCGCATCCACCTCGTTGCGCGGCGTCGGTGTGGTCGCTGGCTCCGGGGCGGCGTTGGCGTCGACAAAGGCGTACAGCGCCGCGACGCTCGCCAGCTCGCTCTGCGCGGACATGGGCTGGTCGCGCAGCGTTGAGGCGACGTGGCGCGCGACGCCGAGGTTGCCCAGCACCGCCGACCACGTCGCCAGCGTCACCTGTGCCATTTGCCATGCGCACGCCGTGGGTGGCGCGGTGCGTGCGAGCATCGTAATCTCGGCATGCAGCTCGCGGCGAGTCTCGGCATCATGCACCACGTCCAGCTCGAGCCTCTGCTTGGACTGCAGCGTGACAAAGCCGTGCACGAGCTTGGACGGAGCCATCGACGAGGGAGGGCACGAAGCGCGCACCACACTGGCCAGCAGACGGTTCCACACCGCAGACAGGCGCGCGCAGTAGTGCACGTCGGCAATGCCGAGCACTGCCGAGAACTCGTAGTTGCGCAGGTCGCTGGATGCGGATGCGGACGCAAGCATGTCGAGTGCAGTGTCCAGATCGAGCGACAGCACGGACGAGAGCCACGACGCACTCTCGACCTGAGTCAGGCCGTCGTCCTTGAGAAGCGCAGAGGTCGGCGAGCTCTCGGCGTCGGCCGCACGAAGACACGAGCGCGCCTCGATCCAGAGCGAGTCGGCAAAGTCTTGAGCCGAATTGACACCGTCGCCAAGGCGTGCAAACGCGAGCGCGAGCGTGGCCAGCAATCGCGGTCGCACCGAAGCGGGGTCTCGCGAGGCTGCATGGGACGAGCCGCGGACGTATTGACTGTTGGCAAGACGAAGTGCGGTGTGCAGACGAAGCAGCGAAGAAGCCTGAGCCTTGGCTTCGCACAGCGTCTCGACCTCGAGGAGGCGGCATAGCGCGCCAGCCTCTTCGCTCGACATGTGCTGGACCGGCACGAATCTGTGGAGACGAGAGTTGCGGCCGAGAACGAGGCGCAAGCTGGACCCGAGGATTGAAGGAAGAGCCATGGGGGCGGAGAGGGGGGCGGAGACGTTCGAGCGAGCTGCCGAATCGAAGGCAGCGACGCTGATGTCGCCCTTGGTCAACGACACGCGCAGCTTGCGACTTGACTCGGCAGAATGCACGGATGGTGCGTCGTCGGAGCTGGCAGAGGCATCGACTGACGACGACGAGCGTGCCTTTGGCAGGAAACGGGAAAAGATGGGCCAGACAAGGAAGAGGAAGAGGAAAGCGAAGGATACGATGCGCAGCACCTCGAAGGCGAGGGCGTGCGAGGGAACGCTGTCAAAGGCGTGCGGATCCTGGGCGATGGACGTGGAGGGTGCCACGTATCCTGCGGAGCGCTTGAGCAGCTGGCGACTTGCGCCCACCATGAGCTTTGCGGGAGCGGGGCGGGCGACGGCTTCGGATGCGTCCGAGGCCGAGGCATCGAGGGCGAACTCGGCACCGGAGCCGATGAAGCTGATGCCGAGGAAGGTGGCGAGCATGTAACGCGAGGAGGCGACGGAGGAGAGTGTGGCGGCGATGCCGGAGCGACGGCCGCGGCCAGCCTTGGATCCGGTGCGCCTTCTGGCTGAGGGGGGTGAGGAGGACGAGGCGCTGTTGTAGGAGCTTTCGCCCGTGTCGGCTTCATCGTCGTCATCGTCGACCTCTTCATCGTCGTCGTCGTCATCGGCGCCGGCGTTGAGGGAGGCGTCGGCTTCGTCCTGGGCCTCCTCGTCTTCCTTGGCGGCTGCGGCTGCTGCGAGAGCCTCCTGCTCTGCGACGACCTTGTCCATCTCTGCCTCCCAGAGTTCGAGGAGCTCCTCGCCGCCCTCGAGACTGCGGACGAGTTCGCGAAGGCCGGCGACCTCGCTGGTGAGGCGCAGCTCTCTGGATTTGAGGTACTTGATGTAGTCTGTGGCCTTGCCGAGGATGGTGGCCTTGTTGAGCTTGGTGGCGGCGGGGACGCCGTCGACGAGGTCTTCCTCCTGCTGCGCCTTGCGACTGCGGCGGCCGGAGGGGGTCTTGCGTGGGCGAATCTCGCGTAGCGCAGGTACGGCGCGACGAAGGGCGGCGATGCGGTCGTTGATGTTGTTGCGATACCTGCGCTCGATGGCGTTGTGTGCGACCTTTTTCTGCTGGCGGGTGGCGGGGTCGAGCTGCTGCCTGTCGGCGGAGGTGGCGGAAGCTGCTGTTTGAGAAGTACCGTGAGCGGCGGCGAGGGCACTGGCAGCGTTGGCTGCGGCCTGGCTCTCCTGCAATCGCTTTGCTTTGAGTCTTTGGATGGCGGCGAGGGCGGTGGCGTTGCTTCCGACTTCCATGTGGGGCAGCTTGCTGCTCATGTGATTGATGTGTGCTGGCGCTGGCGCCACCGCTGTCACTTTGACCGATGGTTTGGACTCGGATGGTGCCGGGGTTGACTTTGCCTTTTTGGTCTTGCGTGCAGCGGAATCGGCGTCAGGTTGTGGCAGTGCAGCTTTGGAGCTCTTGCTCGCAATTGCTGATGAAGGAGCGTGCGCCACTGCAGTATCCGAGTCGGGGGCATCTGCTCCACGTTTGGTGCCGACGACGGTGTTGGTGGCGTTGTGCATTGGCTCGACGGACGTTGCGGTGGTCTCGTTATACGGCTCGGACACTGTCGGAGGGTGTAGGTTGTTTGCGGTGGCAGGCGCGAGGAAGTTTGGGTTCCATGGTTGTGCGTTGGGGTTGTTGGGCGGGATGGAGGCCGGCGGGAGCTGGACGGTGTGCAAGCCGAAGGGCGAAGTGGATGAAGTTCCCTGGACGGCGAAGTTGTGCGCGAAGGGGGAGGTGGTGTCGGAGCCTGCGTAAGATTGGGGATAAGAGGGGTTGGACAGGTCGAGGCTACCGTCGGGGCTGAATGCAGTTCCAGCTTGGGAGGCCATGGAGAAGGAGAGATTGCGGGGGTTGGAGCCGAGGTCCGAGTCGGGCGGGGTGGGGAAGTTGGAGGCACCGTAGATGAGGTCGTTGATGCTGTTGGGGCTTGCGCCGCTGTCGCTGGATCCCGAGACGAAGGAGCCGGCGTAGGAGGCGGAGAAGGAGGCGAGCGAGGGTGGAGCTTCGAGATCGACAAAGTGGTCGGAGGGGAGGGTTGCGTCGAGGATGGAGCGCATCATGGAGTCGTAGTCGTCGCTGGACCAGAGGCCCGATGGCTGGTTGTCGAGGACCATGTCGGATTGCTGGTGCTGGTGCTGCTTGGAAGCGACGATGGTTGGAAGCATGTGCTGGAAGGCGGACATGGAGTCGTGGTGCGGAAGAGGAGGTTGCAGAAGCTGCGAGCGGGTGTCAAGAGGAGTGGCAGACTGGTAGAGATGCTGCTCCTGCTTTCTCGGACTGCCGGGTGGCGGAGCGCCGTTGCCCATAGATGCAGGGAACATCTGGCTTATGTTCCGGTCCTAGTGAGGAGATGCAAGCGGAGGCGTGTGGCTCTTTGTGGTGCTCCTTATGCTGATGGTTGAGATGGTGTGCGGTGAACAGAAGGGAGCAGGAGTCTGTGCGTGTGTATGTGTCTGGGGGCAAAAGAGGGCGTGCTGGGATGAATGTCGATCTCTGCTGAGCCGGATGGCTGCGAGGACGGATGGCTAGCGAGCGTGACTGAAAGAGAGAGAGAGAGTGCGTGTCTGTGACGAGGAGAGAGCTTCGAGCAGCAGCGCCGCGTTGAATGCCGGAAAGCAACCACCGCCTGACAGGCGCCTCAGCAGAGCGCGGCAGCAGCAGCAGCAGCCGCAGCAGCAGCGGCGTAAAGTGCCGCCATCGTACGATTTCGAGTGTGGAGCAGCGGCTGCTTTCTGTGGGATTTTTTCGGCAAGACCCGACGTGCAATCAGCTCAGAACCCTGCAGCTGCTATTGCTCTTCGGCACTGCCGCAATCCAGTCCGCAGCAACTTGACCAGAGTGTCCCTGGCTCATCTCATCTTGGCTGCACTGCCATGCCACACCGCCCATAACGAGGATCGAGCTCACAGCGTCGTCCGGCTTTGGTGAGCCTTAAATTTCCCATCCCACGCCTCGCTGCCAATCCGAAATGTCACGCCACTTCGGTCGCGCGTTCCAATCTCGCCCTTTGCTGCCGCTACTTGTCAGCCTCAGCCGCTGCGACCCCTCTGCTCAGCACATAGCGTCGTTCCCGCTCCCACACCAGAGCTATGGCCCAATCGTCTCAGCAAACAGCAATCTCATCCCGCAACTGGGCAGGTGAGTAAAGTCGACTGTGATGATGGTAGCGCACGATTCATACTGCCAACGCCCCGCCTTGGCCCACAACGAGCTTCTTTAGCTCAGTTGGTACGAGCG